GCAGATAATTTTTCCTGCATCTGTTGATTCTCAGTTGCCTTCAGCACAAAATAATCCTTGTGCCAAAGTGGCATATTTTGGGTTGGCATATTCAAATCCCCTTCAAGGGTGATGAACTTTATTTTGTGTGCTTCCCAAGGTGTATAGGCCTTCACATCTTTAACAGTTTGGCCTGGTGTTTTGTTGATCGAGAAAGGTTAACACTGAGTATTTTATGTGTCCTTTTCTTTAGGTTGCTGATTAGGCAGATGGAAACTGGAGACTTAGCACAATCTGCTGCTGGCAGTGGAAATTAACATTTGGAAGCTTGTATCTTTAAACAAGCTCTTAGAGGTTTTTGAGTCTGAGTGGTGGCATTATCTTTATTTTTTTCTGCAATTGGCATAAAATCTGAATAGAAATTTACTGTGTAGGTGAACATTTTCAAAGGGGCTGCTGTGGTTTCAGCTTGCGTCTGAGAGGGCTGACCTAGATTTGGGTGTCTAGATCCAGGCAGTCTGACTTGCATGATTTTTGAGTATACAGAGAAATTCTGAGGTTATCTTACATAAAGTGTGCCTGAAGCCAGTGTATCAGTTATTCTCCAATTATGCATGTGTTAACTGTTATCTAGTGTTTTTTCAGTAACTTAATTTTTCCCTCTTCTGTAGGCTTCTAGTGTTATAGGTGACCTAAGCTACGCCATTGCTGGGTTGATGTTTTTAGAATACAAAGCAAGTGCGCAGTGGTCTGCAGAACTCTTGGTCATCAATTACCGAGGAGAACTTAGAAGTTACCTTGTAAGGTAAAAATGTACTTTGGGAAGCCATGTTTGAAATAATGTTTATTTTTCTGTTTTAATGTCAGATTTTGGTATTTCTTTTTTTTTTTCCTTCTGTCTATTATGAAAAATTGCCAACATAATAGGGAAGTTGAACGAATGGTGTAGTGAACACCCGTTGCTTCCACTTGGATTTTACAATTAGGATTTTACTATGTTTGCTATACCATATTTCTAATCATATGTCCATCCCTCTATCCAGCTGTTAATTATTTCATAGTAAGTTGGAGATCAGTACTCAAATGCTTTAGCATGCGTATTATTGATTAGAGTTTAATATTTGCTTATAGTTTTCTTTCTTTTGAGGTGAAATTTGCATGCAGTGAAATGCATACATCTTAATTATACCAGCTAGTGAGTTATGACAAACGCATACATTTGTGCAATTCAAACCTCTGTCAAGATATGGAACATTACCATCATACTAGACAGTTCCCTCATGCCCCTTCCCAATAATTCTCTTTCCGTACCCACTCCCAGAACAACTATTGTTGATTTTTTTTTTTTAAATCACAGATTAGTTTTGCCCATTCTAATAATTTATGTTAATGGAATAACATATAGTCATCCCTCTGTATCTGTGGGTTCTGTTTGTAGATTTGATCAACTGTGGATTGAGAAGATTCAAAAATTGTATCTGTATTGAACATGTACAGACTTTTTTTCTTGTCATTATTGCCTGAGCAGTATAGTATAACAACCATTACATAGCATTTACATTGTATTGGGTATTATAAGGAATCTAGAGATGATTCGAAGTATACAGGAGGATGTGTGTAGGTTAGATGAAAATACTATGCCGTTTTACACCAAGGACTTGAACATTTGCAGATTCTGTTATCCTCTGAGCATCCTGGATCCAGTCCACCAAGGACATCTAGGAATAATTGTAGTATGTACTTTTGTGTCTAAGTCTTCCTTCAGTCATCATATTTTGATATTCATATTTTTAAAGTGTAAAAATATTTTATTCCTTTTTATTGATGATTAGTATTTTATTGTATGAATAGCTCATGATTTAAAAAACCCATTCTTCTATTGATGGAACCGTGTTTCCACTTCTGGGCTATTGCAAATAATGCTGTTACAACCATTCTTGTACAAGTCTTTATGGATATACATTTTCGTTTCTCTTGGGTCAATATCTTCAAGTGGGATTGCTGGGTCATAGGGTAGATACAGTTTATTTTTATAAAAAACTTCCATGCTTTTTACCAACCGGTTTTATCAATTGCCTTCTCATTGTAACAGAGTTCTGGTTGTTTTATATCCTCAGCAATATTTGATATTGTCTGTCTTTTAAATTCTAGACATGTTTTTGGGTATTTAGTGATATTCATTGTGGTTTAATGGTATTTACGTCTTACTTACCTTCTTAAATTTAGTGTTGGAACAAATCAGAGCTACCAAGAAAGTCACTGTTTCAGCTTCAGTAGTCATTATCCTCATGGAATCAACACAGCTATTTATCATCCTGGTCACAGGTAAGTAACCATTTGTTCTCATATTTAGTGGAATAGTAGGTGGATATAGAAATCTTGGTTCAGGTTCAGGGAGAAGAAACTATTTTGATTCTTATGTTGACTTCTTAATTTCCTCCTTTTGTGCCTACTTATCTTTAATATCTATAATATTGTTGTCATCTGATTATTCCTGCTGTTCCAGCTGGCTCACTGAGCCAGGTGGGCACTGGGAATATTCAATGAGGAATTTATTCTCCTCTTTTAACCCTCTGGACCTTATTTTTTTCGTCTTTAAAATGAGTATGATGTCTAACTTAGATAATTAGTGGGAGAACTAGTACTATATATTAGGTGCCCTCACACAGAAGGGCCTTAGGAGATGCTTCTTCCCTTCTTTCTTTCCTTGCTAGTTTGGGCTGTACTGATGTTGCACATTTCTTCCAACAACTGTATCCCATCATTCACATACAAATACACTCCCCTGTATATTTGCCATCTGCATTGAGAGTTACTGGAAACTTTATGGCTTTTTCTACTTCCAGTGATTTCTCCCCTTTAATTTCGTTATTTGATAACAGAAGTCACATGCATTTTATAGGATAGCCAAGCTAAATATTTGGTTTCATAAATGGGTATAGTATTAAATTTTGAGTAAGACAAACCTAACTTGAGCTTTTGAATTTTGAGACTTACTCTGTGTTTAATTGGCAAGTCCTTAACTTGGACTCTCAGTATACTTAAGTCTTTTTGATTGAAAATGTATGCAAGTTTGCATTCTGTTTAGTCATATGTTTGTGTTTAGTTCAGGACTTTGTTATTATGAACTTTTTATACTACAAAAGAACACAGACGTGTACACACACACACACACACACACACACACACACACACACTCTGAAGTCCTCCTTGTGCTCTTCCCTGATTCCATTGTCTCTGTTTAAAGATGACTGCTGTCCTGAGCTTTGTGTATATAATTTTCTTGCTTTCTTTATCGTTTTATCACTCATTCATATTTAGTTTTGCTGTTTTGACTTTATGGAAATGGAATCACACAGAAGACATACAAGTCTCACTTCATGACTGGCTTTTTGGTGCTTTTCTTGCTTTATCATTTTTAACTACTATTTGGGACATTTCATTTTACAAATGATTTGCCGCATATTTATTCATTCTCCTGTAGAAGAAAATTTAGTTCTTAATTTTTTTGTTATAAAGATAGTACTGTGGTAAAAATAATCATGTATTTCTCTGACACATATGTCCAAAAGTTTCTGTAGGATATATAACTAGGAGTGGCAATGCTGGATTGTCAGGTTAGTACATCTTCGCCTTTACTAGATAATCTCAAATGTTTTTCAGAGTATTTGTACCAGTTTATAGTCTCATCAGCAGCATATGAAAGTTACTCTCATTTCACATTCTCATTAATACTCTTGATGTTGTGAGACTTTTAAATGTTTGCTGATTTGGTAGGTGTAGAAGAACATGTCACTGTGGTTTTAATTTGTACTTCCCTAGTTACTAATGAAACTGCGTAGCTTTTTATATGTGATTGACCATTCATGTTTGCTCATCTGTGAAATGCTGGTTTTGTTTCTTTTCTTTTGGTAGGAGGTTTGTTGTTGACATTTTTATATAATCTGCTTAATTCTTAGTCTATTATATGCATAATGAGTATTTTTTTTTAACTAAGATGTCAGTTGCCTTAAAATTTTTTTTATATTTACGTTTTATTTTTACGTTATATTTGCATATAATTTCTAGTGTTTACTTTTAAAAACTGACTCCTTTACCCAACTTCTTGCTTTCCAAAGGTAACCACTTTTAGCTATTTTAATTGATTCCTTTGATTCTTTTCATACATTTAAATGAAAAGCTTATAGTGTACTTCTTGATTCCAATTTTACACAGTGTTTATTGTCTTCCCTTTGTGGAAGGTGGATGTCTCCTCAAAGTTTTCTTACCTACTCTACCACGTGTATGCACAAAGACTCTTCAGTTTGTTCTCCTGTTATGTTATATATTATATCCTTTTATATCATAATTTTATTGTATTATTATGGTTATGTAGATGATATTCATAGGTAAGACAAGAAGCTTGTATAGTGTTGTATGATTTCAGTGATTTTCCAGTGTTATTTATTCATCCAGCAAACACTTACAGATTTCCTACTCTGTGCCACATCCTGTTCCAGGTGCTTAGGGTATGTCTTCCTTGTGGAACTTTTTGAGGGAGTGACGGACAACAAACAATGAATGTAAAATATGTGATTAACTAAGTATTATGGGAAAAAAAAATCAGAGGTGGAGAGTGGAAAGGTGGGAGAGTGGGGCGCAGGTTACACTTTTAAATATGGTGGCCACATTACTCTCATCAAGGAAGTGTCATTTGTACAAAGACCTGCAATAGGTGGGGGTATTAGGTATCTGGGGGAAGAGCACTCTATGCAGAAGGAATGGCCAAAGCAAAAGCCCTGAGTTGGCAGTGTGCTTAGCATTTCCTAGGAACAGCAATGAGACCAGTTAGGCTGAAGCAGATTGAGACGCAGAGTAATAAGGTGAGGTCAAAGAGAGCGTGGTCAGTGCTGAATCATGCAGGGCTTCTGTGACATAGTAAGACCCACCCGGTAAGTTCTTTCTTGTTGATTCTCCTTGTAGTTAATAGTTCTTTTTAGTTTGCTGCATTTTATTTATTTATTTATTTATTTATTTATTTATTTTAGAAAAATGAAAGCTGATTTTTATTTTATCATCAACAGCCGTTCTTTAGACATGAACATGCATACGTAATATTCTACGCACACATCACAGTTTTTAACGTTAGTTAATAAAGGTTAAACACACAACATACATCCTTACAAAAAAAGTCAAAATGCAAACTTAAAACTTTAAACAAAAGTATTACTAATTTTAAAAAAGTATGTGTTGGGTACCATTTGTACAACACAGTTAATTTAAACATTTTCATTTTGGTTGCACATGAAAAAGGCGGCATTAGAAAATAAAGTCATTGAGGGTTTTTAAATAGCAGAATAGGCAGTCTCGCCATGCAGGAGAAGCAATATTAAATATTAGTTTCAAAAAAAATCCACATTTAAAAATATTTAGTTCAAGTCACAGAATTTTTCTCAGTGGAGATCCCAATGCAATGCATAATTAGCTGCCTTAGCTGGCCCGTTTGAAAGGATGATATCCCTTCAGAGTGTAACTTTACTGATTTTGGCACAGAAAAGAAGTCTTAAGAACAAGAACATGATTAAAAAAGGGGGAAGAGGAACAGAGGAAAGAAATAAAAGCAAGAATAAATGAGATAGTAATTGCAATCACTAAAAAACTGTGCATTCTCAGTCATTGCAGAACACTGTCTTCTGCCTACAGCAGGTGCTTACTCCAGAACTGTTATTGCAGCATGGATTTAATTTGCTTGGAGGTAGTCTCATCATTCAAATGTTTTGTTGTGTACCTGAGAGCATTTAGAAGACCTTCTACACTATTAGGAGGTTGGTCCTTAAGAACTTTGATACAACTTTTCATATCAATTTTGGAAGTTTTAGCAAATGCTCCCACTGGATGTACGTGGTCATAGAGTATTATGACGCCCACCGTTACCCTCAAGCAGAATGACACTGTCTCTTCATTTGTAAATCTGCTTCTGTATTCCGGTGTTTCCAGCATGACTCTGCATACACTAGCCATGGCGCTTAAACAATCTGTGGTATTTTCTATTGGTAAATTTTTATTATCTGATACAAATTTTGTTGTGGCATCACTCAAGGTTTTCAGCATTGGAGTTGCCTCTGCATAAAACAAAGACATTCGATTTGCCAATTCATTATTTACTTCGTTTTCTCCTTCTGCCGGTACATTGTTAATCCTCATACGACTTAATGTTCTTCTGTAGTAGCTGAAATCATTCTGTATGGCAGGATTTGTCATCTTGAGTTCATCAAACTGGAGTGTGAAATGAAGAATTTCTGCAAACTGTTTAGCAAGAGCCTGCTCTCGCTCTAGATGCTGGGTGGGAGAATACGGGGTACTTGTTAAGGCTCCCAGAAGACCTCTTAATGCTGCTTCTAACCTCTGAGAAAATTCGTAAAATTTCTTTAATTTGCCCACTAGTGGAACAACTGCACCCCATGCCTTCTCTTGCAACTTCTCATCTGCTGGATGCTGGATTGCCTCTCGTATTTCGTGGCCAGCTCCTCTGTATGACTGCAAGTCCTCCAAGATGCCTTCTGCATCTTTTAATACTACATTCACCTGATTATAAATTTCCTTCTCAGACTCTGTAGGCTGGGCATTTTCAAAATCAAGGAAAAAATTTGGCCCCTGCTCAAGGTGTGTGCATGTCAAAACTTTAAGAAGATTCCCCAAGTTAAGGTACCTTCAGCCAGTGCTGGTGATTCTGTCCTTGTCCTTCTATCCTCCGCTCGAGCCTCCAGGCGCTCTCAGCCCCGCTTCTCCGCCCTCCTCGAGCCGCACAGGCGGCTCCTCAGCGGCGCTAGGGGGAGCCCCGGGTCCGGAGCAGGGGAGCGGCAGCAGCCGGACCGGGAGCCCCTCAGCACCTGCCCCTGTGGCTAAGCCGCGATGTACTTAACACAGGAGATGGATGACTGCATTATTGTTTCTGAATGAAAATTGTTGTAAAGCAAGGAGTATGTATAAGCGGCCTGTTGTGCGTGACAAAAATTTTGCTAGCTTGTTTATATTTTCCATTATGCAGTTTTTTTTTTTAAATGAAATAAGCTGAAATATCACATTTTTATTTAGTTTCAGTTACTCTAGTAATGTGGGCCTGTTATGTTTATCATCCACAAAGATTTTATAAATATGAAATAAATCAGCCAGAGTGGAATTGGGATAAATTGGTAATATACAAACTCAGGGTTTTATGAAATTCATTGTTTTGTCTAATGTTACGAGCATCATTGAAGAGAAACTGAGGTGCTAAATTTGGTAATAGGAAACAAAAATTAATTGAGAAGCTTTGGGATAAGCTCTGTGAATATGCTGATTTTGACTATTTTCTTTTTTACATATCCTAACTCACAGCCTAATGAATGTATTTTATCCTCCTTAAAAACTCAGACTATCTCATTCCAGTTGTGCTTCCATTCTTCAGCCTCCCCCAACACCTCAATGCCTTCTTTGCTTGGTTCTTATTGTTCTTTTTCCTCTGTTGGTTTTAGCATAGATTATAGCCTGATTCTGGCTGAGAGGGTTCTTTGATCTCTGCATTTTAAAGGAGATGACATTAAGTTTTTTGTACACAGTGAGTACTGTGCTTGCTGGTGGAGATTCAAATGTAGTCCCTGTCCTGTATGAGTTTACACCCTATGTGGGAGTCACACAGTCCCAAATAACACTTAATAAGTTAGGTTCAAATGGAAGAGTTAATGTATAGATATTTAATTGGCACATTGCTTTTAGTAGTATATAACATTTTTATTTTTAAGATTTTGTTGCTATTTTGTTTTCAATTTTGTTGAAAATTTTTATATCAACATCTGACATTGCTTTGTATTTCTAACATTTCCTTGATAGCTACAGAAAGGTGATTAGTGTTTGAAGGTAACTACTACTAGACCTTAATTTCAAAAGGAAGAGAACATGCTGACTCTGTAGGGAGAAGTTGTACTTTTGAAAAGCTACTCCTACTCCAATTCCTTGATGACCCTGTGACACTGATTTTCAGTATATAATCCATTGATTTTTACTAAATGTATAGAGTTGTACAACCACTACTACAGTTGGTTTTATATTTATAAAAGATTTAAAAAATATTTTTAAATGTAATCAGATGTGTACAGGAGTCTTGAATTCTGTTCTTGGTTGTCCTGCTTTCTAGCTATGTAATCTCAAGGCAAGTCATTTACTTTTTCTGGACCACACTTTTCTGGCCCTATGCTGGGCACCGACCATAGCTCCTCAAGCACCAGGGAGGCTCATTATAGACTATAGTGTAGCATTTGACAGAGGGAAATTGTGGTGGAGAGTTTAATAGCAGGCATGTGGAAAGATCCAGTGTCAGGGATACCTGGCAGGCAACAGCAGGCTTCAGAGACAAGACTTACTTTTCCTGGGAGAACCAGTTTGAGCAAGACTTTAAAAATTAAATTGTTGGGGCTGGGGGTGGTGGTGGCTCACACCTGCAATCCCAGCACTTTGGGAGGCCGAGGTGGGCAGATCACGAGGTCAAGAGATCAAGACAATCCTGGCCAACATGTTAACCCTATTTGTACTAAAAATACAAAAATTAGCTAGGTGTGGTGGCAGGTGCCTGTAGTCCTAGCTACCCAGGAGGCTGAGGCAGGAGAATCACTTGAACACGGGAGGTGGAGGTTGCAGTGAGCTGAGATGGTACCACTATACTCCAGCCTGGCGACAGAGCAAGACTCCATCTCAGTAATAATAATAATAAATTAAATTGCTGGTATTGGGTTGGAAATTGGGAATTTGGTTTCAGAACCTGGGCAGTCAATTAAATCTGGATAAAAGGTAGGTATGGAATGAACCATATAGGTAGATGCTAAATATATTGTGTTTTTGCAGAGGAGTTGCTTAAATCCACCCTAAGGATCCAGAGGGAATTAAGTCTTCAACTGATGTTCTTTAGCATCAGCTGTGGGTTAAGGGAAGGAAACAGGCAAGAACATCCAAGAACTCTAAGTTGATTTATTCCTTAGTACTTTTATTGACATTCTCTGCCAGGCCAGTGGCTCTTAACAAGGTGTGGACAGCAGAACTACCTAGTGAGCATTAAAACAAATGCATACCTAGGTCCCACTGTCAAAGGCTTGATCAGGTGATTCTGATCCTTTCCTCCCCTCCAGTTAAAGTTCCTTGTGCTAAGCTCTGGGAGACCTAATAGGATGAATGGGATAATGACTAGTATATGTTCCTTGCTTTGCAGTTACCCTCATGAGGGATAGCAGTGAATTTCATTTTAGATGCCATCTCCCTTCCATTGGTTGTAACTGCCTAAAAATCTGGGTTGAGAAGTACTTTGAGGCCAGGCCTGGGCCCATGAGGAGCTAAGATTGATGGATGATACAGGTGTAGAAGTAGCAAAACTGGATACCCATCTTCTCGTGTCTTTCTGCCTGGGGTGAGCATGTGTATGCCTGTGTGTGTTTATTCTGACTTCCTTGGAAGCCTACAACATGGCAGTCAAACTGCAAAGGCACTTGTTTGTGGGTAGGGGTGACAAATGTGAGTAAAACACAAGTTCATGCCATCACGATTTGATGCTCAGTGAGAAAGTTTTCTATAACCTACCGTTTCTTTAGCAAGATTACCCTTGTCCAGAAAACTTCAAAGACCCAGAAAACTGAATTTGTCAACCTGCGGAGAGGATATCACACTTAGGGGCTAACGTAGCTCAAAATGTTGATGTAAAGAAAAAAGCATCAATGAGCCAGTTTAATATTTTATTTTGAAAACTATAATATGGACCAGGACACTTTTCTTGACAGACCTATGTGGGAATCCCGGTTGTAATCAGAAGTTTGTTTAGTAAGCCCAGACAGAAAAAGAAGTGTTATAATATTGATATTTAGCTGACGTACCTGGATTTTTCATGTCTACAGTAAGGAGAGCCTTGCTAGTAAAACTTTATACTTAAATTCCATTTGCCAGGAACCTTCTAATTGACACATGTATTTGTTCTTTATGTATATTCATAGCTAGAGAATATTTGTATACATATATTTTATAAAACCACAGATATGATGCTATCAACTCTCCCTCCGTCCCCACCCAAGTTCGGACTGGGACATGTAACAAGAGCAGACACACAATCTATATTATCACATTTACTCAAAACATCTGCTTTTGCAAAACCTGTGTGGGGCACCTTGCACCCCATATCACAGGTAGGAATCACCACCATCATCTTGGCAGCCAGGGAATCACTCCATTTCAGGTATTATTTTATTCTTTCCCGTTTACCACGTATCTCCCAAATATGGCAGCATGGTGGTTTTAGGTTCTACATGCACAAGTCTTTTTAATTTGCGTAAAAAAATCTGTGGTTTCACAGAGAGTAGTGGTTATGATAAAGCTCAATTACTTAGCTTTTCTGTGCTAACTTTAAATAAATGAACAAATACAAAGATTATGTAAATGATACCTTTCATATGCCAAAAAATGATTTGAAAGAGGTACACTAGTGTCTGAACTTTGAGATATATTTCTGACCTTAGTTACTTTTTATCAGTGTTCACTGCTAGTAGAAAGTTTATTTATTTATTTATTTATTTATTGGAGACAGAGTCTGGCTCTGTCCCCAGGGCTGGAGTGCAATGGCATGATCTTGGCTCACTACAACCTCCACCTTCTGTATTTAAATGATTCTCTGCCTCAGCCTCCCAAGTAGTTGGAATTACAGATGCCCACTACCACGTTTGGCTAATTTTTATATTTTTAGTAGAGATGGGGTTTCACCATGTTGGTCAGGGTGGTCTCAAACTCCTGACTTCAGGTGATCCACCTGTCTCGGACTCTCAAAGTGCTGGGATTACAGTTGTGAGCCACTGCATCTGGCCCATAGAAATACATTTATTTTTGCACAGTCATTCCTTGGTGTCTGTGGAGGCTTGATTCTAGGACCCCTCGTGGATACCAAAATCCATGAATGGTCAAATCCCTGAATGAAATAGCATAGTATTTGCATATGTCTATGCACATTCTCCCATGTATTTCTCATTTCTAGGTTACTTATAATACCTCATACAATGTAAATGCTCTATAAATAGTTGTCATACTGTATTGTTTAGAGAAATAATAACAAGAAAAAAATTCTATACATGTTCCTTACAGATGCAACCATCCATTATTTTTCCTGAATATTTTTCACCTGTGGTTGGTTAAATCCATGTATGCAGAACCCATGGAAATGGAGGACTGACTGTACAGCTGATCCTTGAACAACACAGGGTTCAACTGCATGGGTCCACTTATACACAAATTTTTTTTCAATAAATATATTAGAATTTTTTTTTAAGATTTGCAACAATTTGAAGAAACTTGCAGATGAACCACATACCTTGGAAGTAGCAAAAATATTAAGAAAAAGTTAGATATGTCATTAATGCATAAAATATATGCAGATATGATTCTGTTTTATTATATAATATACACAAATCTATTATAAAAACATTTATTAAAACTTACAGACCGTGTATGATGACATTCACAGTCACGAGAAATGTAAACAGTCATAAAAATGTTGTATTAAATAATAACTGCATAAATTAGCTGTGGTAATACTGTACTACAGTAATAATTTTGTAGTCACCTCCTGTTGCTATTGCAGTGAGCTCAAGTGTTGCAAGTACCCACTTAAAATGTTGCATGACACTAATCATCTCCAAGTGAGCCTTTAGTCTCTCCAGTAAATTGCATATCAGAGTAAAAAGTAATCTCTTGAGGTTCTCGTGCATTTTTTATCCTGTTTAGTGCAGTACTTTAAACCTTGAACAATGCCATTGGACCCATATAAAGTGCCACTAGTGATGCTGGAAGTGCTCCTGGGAAACAGGGAAAAGTCATGACATGACAAGAAAAAGTTGACTTGCTCGAT